GACCAGCAGTCTCCAGCTGCTGCAAGCATCCCACAGGTCTGGGCTCCACGGGCTCCTTGAATGAGACAAGCCTGAACTGGGTCCTATTAAAGACCACGAATGGGCTTTGGGGTGGGGGTACGTCCCTTATCTACCTTCCTCACGTGCTGATCACAAAAAGTTAGACCTCCTAATGTCTGAAGACCTTCCAGCTTTCTCCAGCCTCGAAACACCCAAGGGCCAGAGACAGAGAGCAAACTAACAACGCGGGTGCTGGGAACAGCAAGTTTGGGGCACGGTGTGCTCCTTCCCTGTGCAGTCCAGCCGTGCAAACCCTGCAGCATCTCCTCTCGCCCTTCCACTCGTCCCTCTTTATTGCACTAAAGCAGCTGTTCACAAACTGTTATTCGGTGCTTTGGCATCTTCTGGTGGATGATACTTGCCTGCCAGTCTTTGGGTTCACACATGGGGACGGGGAAGAGCGAACTCAATGGGATTTTATGGGAATCTGAGTGTAGAGTCCCAGAGAGCTTCCCCTCTACTCTTTGAGGTACTTGGCTGACACTGATGTTTCTCAGGGGTGGGTGGACAACAGCCCAAGGACCACTTCTGCCCTTCCACCAGGAGGGCTGGGGAGCTGGGATGGGAGGGGGACTCCACCTTGGTCCTCAGTGACCCCTCCTTACCAGTGCTGGGACCGATCAGACCTTTACCGGCAGGGAAGGAGAGGAGCGGGACCAAGGGAAGCCTTGCAGATAGCAAACACCAGCAGGAGCTCTTGCGTGGATGGAGCTTTGGAGGTCTCAGGGGGGGAAGAGGAGGCTCCTGCATGGGGAGCAGAGCAGGGGGAGCTCAGGTCCTGCTCAGTAGCTCCTGCCTCCTGCTCCTTTGGCACCTGAGTCTCTTCCTTGTCTAAATCTGCCCTACAGCCCTGCACGTTTCTTGGCATAGGAGCCCGCAACCGGCAGAGACACACGGCAAACACAGAGAAACGTTCCCTCGCAAAGCGCATCCATCCTTGTCAGATCACAAGGGGCGCAGGGAAAGCAGAGGACTCAACATGTGACTCTCCCAAAAGAAAACCAACAAAGACACGTCAGGACAGAGAAAAACCCAAACTGCCAGGACAAGCAGCTGCAAACAAACATCTGGAGCAGATGTTATCTGACTCATTACAGGGCGGGGCAGGAAAGGGGCTCACAACCCCAACCAAAATTGGAGCCCTCTCTGCAGGGAAACCAAACTGTCTGGCAGCAGGAGGTGGGCAGGGAGCAGGATGGATCTGGTCTGAAGATGTTCGGAAAAGCTCAGGAAAAAACCACGACCGGAGGCTACCCACAGCCTTCCTGAGAGCAGATGAGCTCAGCGAACCAGAGCTGGCCTCCTTGGAGAGCCTTTGGCAAATCCCAACCTGTCCTTTCTGCTGAGAGCAAGGAAGGGGGGCTCGCCGAGGGCCCCCCCGACAGAGTGGGGAGCCGTGACCCCACGTGAAGCCACACGCCCCTATGAGCAGGGTAGGGGTCAACAGCTCTAAACTTCTCGAGCCCATGCAACCGCAAGGCTTGGATGTGGCTTTGCATTTTGCCCTCAACACAGTCAAACCAAAGCCCTGCGCTGGTCTGACGGCCCTCAGTGCCCATCTGGGGCTCTCCTCCCCTCTAATTCCCTTCCACGTGTCCCGTATTTCATAAAACACATCTCTCAGGTTTGTCATTTCTTGGAGATGAGACATTCCAGAGACCTGGCCGGACTCCTCAGCCCTGCACCCAGGCTATGGCACGATTCCCGGGTAGAAATGGGATTTCCGCACTGACCCAGAAAAAGCCCATTAGGTAGAAGGCTACTGGCAGGCGTCCTGGCCTCCTACCAATTCCTGAAGGCAAATGTGCTGCAGGAGTAGTGCAGGGCTGTGCCTCGCCATCCCACCGCCCGGCAAAACTGGCTCTGGGGAGCCGGTACGGGGACAGCCACCTTCTCATCCCCATCTTCTCAGCCTACAGCTCCAGCACCTGGGGGAGGTCACCCGTGCTTGCATGACTTTGGAGGCCGTGAAAATGATGAAGCTTCACATGTTGAGTCATTCCACCATCAGGAGAGGAAGCAATGAATTGCAAAGATACAGAGGTGGTAACTAAATTTACGAGTAGGATCCATTTAAAAAGGAGGAGGGGAAAAAAAAAAAATCAAAGTAGAGCAAGTTGGAAAATTCTGTTCATTAGTTTTCTTAAAAAGTTTCAATGAACTACTTCACATTCACATTCAAGTGAGACAGTTCCTCAGATCCTCCATGAAAAAGGGACCTTTTTTTTCGCTTTAAAAGTTTTACAGTTTTTAGGAAGAAGGAGTCTAATCAGCACCAATACAAAAGTGAACCGAGCGTTCAAAAGGAAGGGTACCTCTTGGCGGAAATCTCTCCCCTGAACATCGCTTGGATGCAGGGAGCCAAGTAATTATTGGCATACAGATAAATACGTTTGCAATATATTTTACAACTGCTGCCACAGAGACATGGACTGATCTTACAGGGGTACACACACCTACAGGGCATCCTCCGAGAAGGTCATTGCCTTAAAACCCAAAGGATTTCAGAGTCCAGGGCTGGCCTCAGAGGATGTGCAAACCGCACAGACGTGGCCCTCTCCCTTCTTAATGCCAGGAGATCCTCGCTGTAAAGCAGAGCATCACACAGGAGATCCTCGCTGTAACCCAGAGCATGACCCAGGAGATCCTCGCTGTAACCCAGAGCATCACCCTGAACTCCCCACAGCTTACAGAAGCGGGCTCTCCACCTTTGGCCAGAGGAAGCACCTTTCAGCATCCCCTCCTCGGGCTGTAGGTGAAATCGGTCTCGTCTGTAACATGCCCCAGGCACAGACTTCACACCAGGGATGGGATTCATCTCCCCTTCCACAGGGAACCTCCAGTTCAATGTTTGGGTCCCATTTGAGTCAAGGGAGACAGGGACTGCCAGCACATAATTTAATGAATAATGTTTTCAGGAGGGATGAATCACTCTCTGGAACTGCTTTTCTCTGCAACAGAAGGAGCTTGGATCAGCTGCGATTTTAAGATAGCAAATGTACGGAAAGAGGAAGCCCATCGTGAGCATCTACCTCCTGCCTCACCCCATAGCCAGCACGAAATCCTACCCTGTCTCTGCAAAGCAGACCCCCCCCCCAAGGACGATCTGTAAATCCCCCTTTCCCCCTCTCCCGACTACCTAGGAACTAAAGGTCTAGGATTAGCAATAAACAGACTGGGAAATCATCTTCCAGCATGTGCAAGTGTACCAGGAAGCCAAACCTTGCATCTGGCACCATTCACAGCAGTATCATGAATATTATTAGTAATAGACCTAGCCATCCTAACGTTATATTTATATATACAAAAATAGATCCACAGAACTCTACGTAAAGAGGTGGCTGAGGGAAGGCGACGGATGAGCCCTGGATGGCAGGGTCTTGGAGGAAGCCAAGGGACACGTTGCATATATTTCTCCAGGGGAACCATTCGCTTCCCTCCGCACTCGCACCCCTCGGAGAAGAGACAGGCGGGCAGAGCCGAGCACCGGGACATCGTCCCGGCTCCAAACTCCCCCAATCAATGTCAGAGAGGGTCGCAACCGAGAGCTGGCACTGCGCGTTTGCAAGCGGAGATGGGGCTGAGTCCAGGACCAGGAGGAACTCCCCTCAACTGCAGTCCCAGGTTGGGCTTATCATCATCACAGCAAGTACACCGCGAAGCACTGACCCCAGTTCAGGTTTCCTTCTGTCTGCAGATGGCCCAGTCCCAGGGCTTGGTTCAGACCCATCTCCAGTTTGCCACAGGCAGCCACCGATGACGGTTACCCGCAGCCGTGCCAGCTGCCGGGGTTGCCTGCCGGCGTGACGCTGGTGTTGGCGTGACACGTCGGTGGGCCGAGGAAAGCGAGGTGAGGACCCAAAGGCAACTTCTGCAGGGAGGGAAGGTCGGGGTCCTGTCTTTCAACACTCCCTTCTGCTCTCCGTTTCCCTCCAGCCCAAAGCCGGAGTTGCAGAAGTCCCCGCTGGGAAACCCCAGGTTTGGTGCGAACGGCCAGGGAGAGCCATGCGAGCGGCAGCTGTTGGCAGTTGGGTTTGCGATACGTGTGTTTGTAAAGTGAATTCAGTGCTGGTGGAAGGTACCAGATCGGGGCTCTCGGGGCTCCAGCACGGAGCCGGTGCCTGTGGCATCTGCTCGACAGTGGGATGGAGCTGGGCGGCAGCTCCCATCCCGCCAGGGTTTGCGCTCTGGAGGCAGCCCTTCGAGGCATTGAGAAATGAATGGCAATTTCAAACCAGCTTCTTGTTCTCAGCCAAATCCCAGAGGGGACCTTTCCCTCACTGCAGTCGGGCAGAAGCGAGTGGGCTGGGCTGCCTCCGATAGCTCCTTCTCCTGCCAGAAGGTTTCTAAAGCTTCCCACACCTTCCCTTCCTCTCTGAGACAGAAAAATATGATGCCACCTCATTTTGAAGCTCACTTGCTTCTCCCAGTGGCTTCCAAGCCCCTTGGGGAAAGCAGACCTACGGCCACTCGAGAGCAGAGAGGCCACCCACCAAAAGTGCTGGAGAGAGATGAAGAGAGAGGGATGGAGGTCTGGCTCCTGGAGGACTCTTGCACAGGGGATGCGTCAACCTGCCTCTTCCCCCTCATCGGGAAGGACCGCACCACGGGGCAGCGGCAGCTCCTAAAACCCTCTGAGAGCAGAGTCCCGAGGACCCCCCCGGTCACCCTTCCCTACAGGGCAGCACTCTCTGCCTCTCCCGGTCCCTCACCCGCCTGTGCGGAACCACCGTTTCCCACGCCCCCCTGGCCACCCAGCCGCCTTTGTGCTCCCAGAGGCTGGGGGACCCTCAGTTCACCCATCTCATTCCCAGGAGGTGATGGTGGGTAGGGGGGAGCACTGCAGAGCAGAGGGAGGGGATGGAGGGGCGAGAAGGAGGAGGAGGAGGCGGAGGAGGAGGAGGAAGAGGAGTAAAGCCCGCTTCTCCTCCCTGGGAGGGTCATACCGGCTTGTCCAGCGCCTTGGGGAAAGGCGTGCCGCTGGAGGAGGAGATCTTTCTGCAAACTGTATTGGTGTGGCTCTGGCAGCGGCAGCCGGGTCGTTTCAGGCCATCATAACCCCGCTGGCAAAGTTTGAGGCACCCCAGGGTAGGAAAGTAGCAGCAGAGGCAGGGCATGAGGAGAGAGAGGAAGCTCATGGCAGCCCAACGGGCACAGCAGGACCCCGGCCCGCAGGAGCAGGGGTCGTCGGCGCAGGTGTCCTCGTCGTCGGTGGAGCAGTGGTAGAAGAGACCCTTGACGCAGCAGAGACATGTCCCGTAGTCGAGGAGGCTCTCGGGGGAGCAGAGGCAGCGCTGGTTGCAGAGCCAGCAGGAGGGCAGGCTGCGGGCGGCCGTGCAGCGGGCACACTTGCATCGCCCGCACTCCTCGCAGATGAAGAGGTGGCCGGTGTGGAGGGTGGGCTTCTCCGTCACCCCCTTCAACGGCGATTC